AGCCTTTACTTCATTATGGGTGTCTGGGAAACAGACGACGAGTATCTCAGTGGCCCAGCTGCTACCTCGCTGCCAACACCTTTAGATACTCCCTATCGAACTCCATCAAGAGCATCAAAGAGGTCTCGGCGCTCGGTCACACCACCTGGAAAGGATTCTTCTACAGCTCAATTACCAAACGAGACAGGTTCTAAGAGATCCTCACGAAATATCCCGACCGACGAAACCATTAGTATTCTCGATCCTCGGCGTTTCACACCAACACTACACGCCAATCTCGTCTCCGAGATCTTGTCTCTCCGCCGAGACCAGGAGGAGAAGACCAGGCAGATTCAAACCCTCGAAGCATCCCTTCACGCGGCAAAGGAGGAAAAAGAGTCAGTGAAGCAAAATCTCACTGAAACGAGTAAGGAGAGCAGGTCGCTCAAACGACAACTCTCCCTTCTCGAGGGTGGATCGTCCTCTGCATTAGGAGAACTTGCCCGGGAGAGAGATGAGGCTGTCGACTCTGTCGCTGATGCGAGAAAGCGACTCGAAACTGCCCAGAAGAAGATCCGGGTTCTGGAGGAGGACTCCCAGCGTGTTCACGAACTATGGGCACAAGAAAAGGATAGCTGGGAGGATGAGAGGCGGAAGTTTGAGAGGCGCATTCATGTTGCAGAAAGCCGCTTGAAGACTGTGCTTGATGAAGTCGCTGCATATCAACAAGCCCAAATCAACAATGCTCACGGTGGAGCCAATCATGGAACAGGCAACGGCCATGATAGTGAAGTCGAGGAAAGCGGCCGGGAGAACGATGCTGCTAGTGTGAGGACTATGAGTATGACCAACAGCATTCGCTTTTCCATGACAAGCGGCACTGGCATAATGAGGCATAATGGTAACTCTCTTGCTGATGAGCTCAATTTTGATGATGAGGATGAGCAAAGCGACTTTGACGGCCGGGAAAGCGCCATGTCAAACTACGCAACATCATTCCACACTCGCAATCTCAGCCGCGATAGTCCAGTGAAACGGTTCCATGCTCGAAATCAGAGCCTGGAGAGCATCAAGAGAACTGGAAGTGTCACTCGGGGCAGGCTTTTCATGAACCAGTCAGTGCCTGAAGCCCTGGAAGATGAAGAAGATGAGGGGAAAACTGTGTCTGCACCAGTTTCTGTACCAAAGGTTCAGTACACTGACACAGGAATCCAATACTCGCCGCCACCCTCACCTAAGCTTCCTCCGGCGAAGCCTGCAACACCCGAGCCCCGTGCTCCTGTCAAGTTGCCAGAAGTCGAGTGCTCGCCACGCGGTGATGGTGAGATTGAAGCAAACCAACGTCGGAAGCGTGTTCACCCCCCTCTCAACATCGAGCCAGCAGTAACTCGACGACTCATGGTCTCTAGTTCTGTTCAGACAACGGAAGAGCCATTGCTGCCTCCGACGCCCAAAACGCCCAAATCACCAACTCGGCCACCACCGCCGCCGCCAGTACAACCTCCTGTGATCGAAAAACCTTTGATGATCACATCTTCTACCCAGACCGAAGGCCCACCCACTCGGCCACCACCCGCCATTCCACCTGCTCTACCATCACTCCCCCCTCTTGCAATCCCTAGTATTAGCGTCCACCCTCCTACCAGTCGGCCTACCACACCTAAGGAGCCGAGATTGCCAGTACTTTTCAAAGATTTCAGTTGTCAAGTTGCCTTGCCCTCTTCATTCTCTACAGCTGAGGCAGCGGTACAGACAGAAGGCATACAGACAGACAAGCGAATGGCACTCCTTCCACCCCATCTCCAACCCTCCGCCATTTCCTCCCGGCCTACCTCACCGAACCCAACATCTGGGGTGGAACCAAGAAAGAGCTTCACACCTGTTCCTGGCAATGTCCCACCACGGAACCCACGCCGACTCAATAGGCAGAGTTTTAGCGATCAGCCTTCCTCGCCAATCTCTCTCCATGAGGATGACACCCTTCACGATGCTTATCCTGGCAACAACGATGATGGCCCTCTCTCCAACCAGAAGGCCCCAGTGCGTCGGCCGCATCGTTTCAGTAGCCTCTTTGCTGGTTTTGATGGAGGTAGCTCTGATGAAGCAGACGATTTTGGTGATGTAGACTTGAGTGATTTGGAGTACCGAACTGCATTGTCTGCACCGCGCCCCAAGTCTATCTCAAGTCGTCCTGGTAAACGCAGCTCAACTGGCACGACTGAAACCTACGGAACGATCCCCACGTCCCCTGAGCAGATTACTATGCGACAGGGTCCTCGTGTTACCACAGAAATCCATCACGCCTTTACCACCAAGCCTGGAAGGGGCTTTGAGAAGGGCCCTGCTGCCATGCCATCCAACCGGGCGAGCGTCATGCGAAAAGCAGCGATGATCCAGAATGGAATTGCCAGTCATCAGGGTCAAGGACGGGCGAGGAGTCCAAGTTTGCCTGATACCAAAAACCCTCCTCCATTCCCGATCCCCACAAGAGCCAGCTCTAGAAACGTGCCTCCTAGTGCAAGTGCTCCAAGCGATGGCCAGAGAAGTCCAACTCGAAGTGATTTCTTCCAGCGTCGTGGATCAGGTCGCGTCTACCGGGCAGGGAGCGTACGAAAGGTCAGGTCTGCCGCTGCATTACCGCGTAACCACAGACATCGTAAGCAAGGCAGTCGATCTTCACCTCCGCTGTCTCCTTCTACTGAGGCCCCTGAGAGCCCAGGCCTGCCTCCGTTGCCTAAGAACGACATTACGACTCCCCGCACTCGGACTCGATATAGTGGCCAGTTTAGGCATCAGCATAAGCTTTCTACCAACACTGATAACACATTCAACACATACAACTCTTTCAACACATACAATACTGGCAATACGCTCAATACGTCCAGCACAGATCCGCCATCCAACCCGAGCAACCCTCAGAATACGAGTGTGGTCGATGCCATAGCACAGACCATGGTAGGCGAGTGGATGTTCAAATATGTCCGCAGAAGAAAGTCTTTCGGCGTTGCGGAGAGTAACGGCAAGGACGATACCGGCAACGATCGCCACAAGCGATGGGTTTGGCTTGCACCCTACGAGAGGGCTATCCTCTGGAGTAGCAAGCAGCCATCCTCTGGCAGCGCCTTGATGGGTAAGGCGGGCCGAAAGCGTAAGTTGCTCACATCAATTCTATGACTGATCCTGACTAACAAGCACAGTGACTATACAATCTGTTCTTGATGTTAAGGATGATAATGCTCCACCCAAGGGAGTCGCAACAGTTTTCAACCGATCAATTCTTATTTTGACACCACAGAGAGCTCTCAAGTTCACGGCAGATTCTGCTGACCGGCACTATATCTGGTTGACAGCTTTGTCATTCCTTGCACATTCATCACAGGCAGTCCCCGAAAACATCTCTGTACCACCGCCAATACAGCAAACGCCACTGCCGGATTTTGAGGCTCCTCGGCCCAAACTGAAACGGGGTGGAATTAGAGACTCTATCCGTCTTGCCAAAGGCCGAACGGTTGGTCCTCGTGCTGGACCACCTACTGTTCCAAGTATCCCAAGTATCCCCAGTGCACCCTCTTCACAACTCGGAGACGTCGCCAGTTTTCCTGTCACGGAATCTGTAGGAGGATTCTCAAGTACGCACTCTCGAGAAGACTCGAGAGATGCCGCAGAGCCCCCATTTATACCACGTTTCCATGACAGGAACCAAGGAAACCAGGTAAACGTTCACGGACGTAAGAGAAGCAATACAGGCGGCCACGTACCGCCGCCGCTCTCTTTCCGGGGATTTTCTGGACCTATTGGGAGTGTTGGTCACCACCAGTCCACCAATAGTACCGCTGGTAATAGTACTGGAACTGCTGGTTCTTCGGATATCTATCAGTCCCAGGCTTCGAGCAACGGAACTTGGGCAATGAGCCAAGCAGGCTCACAGCGAACTTCCGAAGCTTCTTCACGACCAAGCAACTTCTTCGATGCTATTGGTACTGTGCGAATGGAGGCCTTTATCAGTCCACTGGCATTTTCTCAGTTCAACGACTATCCGGATGAACAGGATGAATTCCGTCACTCACTTCGCAGACGGAGTAAAGAACAACGAAGACGACAAAGCCGAAGCAGACACCGAGACAGTTATAATTCTCGCAGCACTCGTGCAACACACGATGACTATTACAATGGGAGCAGAACTGCCGGAGAGGAGGACTATTTCCGTGATGATCCCTTCAAGGGATTCTAGCATCCCTTTGATCTAGCACAGTAGCCACGACGGCAATTATCACTTTCATTATTTGTCGCTTTCTTGGTCATGTTCATTGGTTATGGCAGAGCTTTACGCAGCATTATACCCTTTTCTGTATAAATTTTGGGATCGTTCAAGAACTGGGCCCCCGCGGGCTAGTTAACAATCATTATGTGTGGAGTTTTGGCACTATCTTTCTGCTACATACTTTGTCTACACTGAAAATATGGGAAGATGTAGGGGCTGTGGGATCCGAAGGTTGATGTGAGTGAAGTAGATGACATGCCTTAGCAGATATACCTTGTTGGCCAAAAAAAACGACATGCACATTAGTTCAATCCGGTTTAAAGAAACCAAGTTGGTCTTGAAAATTAGATAGATACAGGTAAAACTGGTATCGCCCATCTTGACATTGGAGCCTCCAACTGATGTGTGACTTTCGTTTCGGATCTTTTGCTGTTAGGTTGACGAATTCAAATGCGATTGAAGTCTTGGTCATAATAATTGTCCTACGGTTGTAAACAGGGTTGATAGACAAAATCATGGACAATTGAAGAATTGCCCCACCGGCGAAATTTCCCACTTACTTACCCCGCGACTTATTGGTGTAGTTCCTCAAGCTTCATTATTTTCTCTTTGCTTACCTATTACCTGGATATATAGAAGTCAAACAAGGACAGGCTCGCCCTTCTCCCCGTCGACTGCAGGACATATCAAGAGCCGATACCCACATACTACCTGTAACTTGCTTTCTGACTTAACTCCGAGCCAGGCTGAAGCTACAGTCATGGCCAGTCCTATGGCAACGGAAACATTTGAGCAGATCCAGACACGGCATCGTCGTGAGCTCAAGGACCTGCAAGGTCGCATAACGGGAAAGAAGAAGAATGCCACAAAGAAGACGCGCAAAGGCGTCAATGACGAGTGTGCAGAGATGGAACGTCAGCTGCGTGAAAAGCAAGCCACCGAGATCGCCGCTCTGAACAACAGCGCTGATAACAACAGCGTCCAAGGCGAAAGCGCTACCGCTGAAGCTCAAGACCAGCTCCAGGAAGACATTTTAGTGAAAGACACCGAGAAGCTCTCTGTCTCTGAAACGGAACAACAGCAGCAGCAGCCGGGAAAGAAGCGCAATCGTCAGAAAGAGCGGCTTGCCCGACGTGCTGCTGAGCAAGAGGCTGAGGCCCAGCGTGCAGAAGAGGAAGCGTCCAATATGACCAATCACCGAGCCAAGGAGAGCGAATATATGAAGTCGACGTTTGAGAAGCATGGGCTTGTGGAGAAAGATATCGCGCCCGATGGACATTGTCTATTTTCAGCGGTGGCGGATCAACTCAGCCAGAATGACATTGCTCTCGGAGAAAGTGACACCAAGGACCCAGCATACAAGACGGTGCGACGAGTGGCTTCAACGTATATGTTGGAGCATGGAGACGACTTTGCGCCGTTCCTTGAGGAAGATCTCCAAGACTACGCCCGCAAGATGCGGGATACTGCTGAATGGGGCGGCCAGCTTGAGCTCATGGCGCTGGCACGACAGTATAAAGCGGAGATCCGAGTGGTACAAGATGGGCGCCTTGAACGTATCGGGGAGGAAGAGGGAGCCGAGTCAGGCAAAACACTATGGTTGGCATACTACAGGCACGGCTACGGCTTGGGAGAGCACTACAACTCTCTCCGAAAGGCACCATGATGAGAAGGATAAGGAGATCACTTTTGTTCTTGTGCATACATCGGCGAAAGATCATATGGTGGTTGTTTGGTATCGAGACGTAAAAAAAGGAGAATCGGTGGCCAAACTATTCGGCTTGGTTATCGACTCCAGACTGAGAGGAAGTCAAGCACTGCGCCATCTGGGCTGGTGCCGGCCTTGTGCGTCCGAGTTGGTTTGAGCAGACTCAGTCGCTGTAGGGCATCGGCCCAAGGTTTTGAACAAGGGTCTTCATGGACGGTACCGTCGTCGTTGTATGCAATTTCTTCGCCAGGAGCTGCTAGGAGGGCCTCATAGAGCTCTGGGGAAACTCCCCATGGGGGACCATTGGCGGACATGGGTTTCGTCGAAGGGAATTCGAGACAAACGAGGCGACCATCATGAGAAAGCAGCTCGGTCATGCGCTTGGCCCATTTTGGTCTTGCTTCGCGAGGCAGAGCGCATAGAAACTGTACAGTTAGTTGGCTTGCTGAAAAGTAGGGGCGCCCAGGATATGTATGTAGCAACCCTGGGCTTCAAGAAGCGGAGTTACCGTATAATCGTAGATCAGGTCAAACTGGCCATCAGCGCCAGCACCTTTGGCCCAGTCTTGTCCAAAGAAGTCACCAGTAATCCAGTGAATCTTTCCTTTATCCAACCCGTCGACAGGTTTGTATAGACCTTCTGACTCGGCTTGCTTCTGATTCTTGATAGCCTCCTCCTTTGCAGCAGCACTGAAGTCAAGGCCCCAGACATCATAGCCCCACGAGCTCAAAAGCAGAACATCATGACCACGCCCGCAACCGGGGACTAGAGCCTTCTTCTTTTCAATGGCGCCTGCTGAGTCTCGGAGGGGATGGCCGCGATGATCATGATGTTGGGAGGGCGGCACGAGATCGGGTCTTTGAGCGAGGAGGTCGTGAAGGGCAATGGAGGCGGTTCCGCGGTCCCATGGTGTTAAAGCCTCTCTCCAGCAACTATCCCACTTCTCACCCTGCTCTGCGAAAGGAACAGTCGAGATGCGGTCTTCCAGAGGGTTTTCGGTAGCCATTGGCGCATATGAGGGAGAGAATACGAAAGCGAGAATATGCGGCGGCGATGAAAGGAGAAGAATAAATTTGCTCGATCTGGGGAAACAACTCGAGCCTTTAGATAGCGTGTGCTATGAAGTGAGGGGGAGGGTCCTGTCGGCTCGGGATGGCATAGGATGGTGGGGTTAGACAATGACGAAAGAAGGACGTTTGTGGAGGTTAGCAATCGATATCAGTGATTGCAGAAGTGTGTCTTTGCTTGAGGTTAACAAAGTAGGTACCTAAGTAGGTAACGTCAGGTAGTTGAGATACTGAGGTTGGAGATAAAGAGGGCAGAATCAAACGGTTTGCTTCTTTTATTTGGTCGCGTGCGTTACTCAAGTTTCGGAAGGACAAGGAGTGCGTGAAACTTTGTACGGACATACATCCGGAGTTACCTATGTAGGCACTCTTCTAGCGTGTGCGCTAGGAAACTGGCCTGTAGAGAGCATCTCGCTTCACGCTCTAGTTAAAGAGTTGCTGTTTCTTACCTACCTACCTACTAAGGTATGAATGAGTGATTTAATCAGGTAGTTTGATATCCAATGGTACCTCTCATGTAAGATATAATGTTGACAGGCGAAACAATGGTTGATTGACATGATATCTTATGAACAATGGTGGGTGGGGGTTTGAAAAACGTCAATGACTAGTCTATGTCTCCCAGTCTTGGAGTATGAGCCTCAACCGCAATGTAGTGATATATTGAACCTGTTCCCTGCTCGGTAAATGACTTGCATGAACAAGCCGGTACAAAGGGCACACGCGAGCAACTGTGGTCCGATCTGTGGTTACACACTTATGCCCTGTAACGACGCACGACAAAGCATCTGCAGTAGATCACGAGATACTGAGTAGAGTGATTAGACAAGCGATATAGCAATTAAATACACAAAAGCAAACAAGCAATCTACTCAAACAGAACCGACCTATAATAGAGATACTCTACTCTACTCACCTCACTTACCTATTCAGACATACATACCCAATCATCAACTTGCTTTCTTAGCATCTGGCTCAGCTGACCTCGTGAAGATCGTCGTGAACTTGGTCCACGTAACTCCCAAAGAATTCCATCCGCGAGGCCTCTCAGTGTTGTCACTATCTCGGTCGAGGGCCCCGAGAAGTGCAAGGAGAAAGTCGTCATCACGGGCTGAATCCTTGGAGAGTTTGTCCTTCATGGTACCATACAATTCTTTAAATTTGTTGCGGAATCCGCCTTTGTTCGCCTCCAATGGTGGTTCCAGTTCCTTAGGAGCATCCGTGGATGCGGCGAGTGCTTCTGGCTGGCTTGACGACTTGTCAACGAGACCCTGTTGTGATTGTACATCAACCGTCGCTTCAGGTACCACAGTATGTGGAATCGTCAAAGATTCGGCGCCAGTGATATGGCCCGGGATTCCATAAGACTCTTGGTTCCTTTGAAAGGACTCGAGGGTGACGTTGCACATGTTCTTCACCATGGCTTTCCCTTCATCCGAGAGCTCTCCCTTCTCCTTCAACTCATAAAATGGCCTCCGTAAAAAGTTCTCCATGACCCTGACTGTGCCTACAATGACCTCTTCACGCCCTTCGAACCAATCCTTATGCCCTTTGCCGCACTTTTTACACTTTTTGACCCGTACATTAATGTCCCTGAGAAACAAGTGCGCCAGTCTATGGGCTTTAGGAGCACCGCTGAACAAATCGAGAGACTCATAGATGGGCATGGGCTCACATGATGCGCCGTAGCAGTTGTTGGGCCGTGATAGACTTGTGTTGACAGTGGTAGCGGTCCATCCAATCTTGAACAGGTCCTTTTCTTCCTTGTGCTTCACGACATACACCTTGCCCTCTCCCGCCTGTGCATGAGTCAGAGGCTTCCTTAACTCCCTGATGATGGCGGCTTTATCGCTCAAGGTTCCGTTTCTCTTTAACCCAAGTTCACTAAACTGAGGATGGGCAAGTCGTGACTCATCATCCGAGCCATTGTCCTCCATGACTGTATCATCCACGATAGATTCCACCATGTCGATTTGTTCTGCGGCAGCATCTTGCCTGGAACGAATAGGGAGCGACTTTGGAGATTCTGTGGGGGATATGACATCCACCTCGGTGGTGTTTTCCACAATGTTATCTTGCTGGCCAACATCAAGGGCCCTGTCAGGAATCGAATTAATGCTGAGTGCCAGTGGGGGAGTATATCTCGGGCTCTCGTCAGATGTTGACATATCTTCAATCGTTGGGAGAGGGCCTTGATGGTTCATCCTGCTGGGGGTGCTCAGGATGAAACTGTCAAAGCTGGAAGTCGGACTTTTTCCCGAGGTTGTCGGTGTGCCGTCTTCAATAAGAGGACTTGAGAGAGGTGTACCGTATCCCACAGAAGGCGATTCGAAGACTTGATCCTGAGTCGGTGTACTAGGTAGTGACACTTCAGATGAAGCGTAACCTGAGTTCTTAGTCCGGGACCTTTCCCAGTTACCAAAGCACTTTTCAAGGAAACTACCCGAGTTGTGCTTCTTGCAGTGAACCCACGGGAGAAATTCTTTGACCGTCGAATAGAACTTGGCATCGTTGGAAAGTGTCTCCTTTTTCATCAGTTCATCCCATATGTCCTTGGCTTCTTCTTCCTTCCCCTTGGTGCCAAGCCTGCAATTGGCAGCCTGACATTTTTCAAAGTTAGGATACTTGGGATTATCATCAGAGGCAGAAAGTTTGACAAGGAGAGTGTTCAACTCTTTGAACACAGGTTGCTCAGAAAGAGTGGCCATTTTGATTCGAGTAGTTGAGATACTCAACTCGGGTCCACGAGAGTGAATTGCTGTGCCTACGGATGATCTATTTTAATATGAAAAGGCAAATGGCCGGGAGCTCTGCTTGCAAGGGGGTTGAAACTGAGTACCAGGGTCAAGATACTCAGCATCGAGAATCATATTGTTGGTTCGACTCGCTATGTTGCGAAGTCATGGTGTGATCATGGTTTATATGCAGTTGGTTGTGTCCTGCAGACGGAAGGATTTCCCCGGGTCAAAATAGGAAATGGATGTACCAAAGCTGAAAAGTGTTGAAACGCCAGGGGCATACATGTCAAGGGTCTCCAACGCTCGAGCCTCATGAAGACATTATCAGCCTTCCAGGTGGCTTTGCTACCTTGCCTATCTGTACGCCTAGCAGAGTTTCAGTTTATGTAAGGTAGTGTGTGACCTCCACGCTCCTAGCCACCATCTTTGATGAGATGGAGGGTTACAGCACCTGGTCCTTCCGGCATAGAGATCCAGATAGACACGGAGTTGACCGATACACAGTCCTGTTACCTTGTTAGGTCTCTGCTGTGCCGTCCAAGAACCTCAGTCAAAGTGCGGGGGGCCTCTCGGCGACCATGCGTGGATAAGAGAAAAGGGAGGAGATAGGGGAACTTTTGAGATAAATCGTGATGTTCTGATATCCTGGTGATCATGCAATTTGCGGCACACGGAGGGGACTTGCATCGTGATGTCGTTCCAGTTGCAACCTTTTCGCTAGTCGGCGGCTTGAATCCTGAAGCTGAGCCTGGGTTTGGATATTGGCCACTGCTCCCAAGGTCTGTCCTGTAGCAGAATAACCCGATGTTAAACGAGCTATGTCGTCTTGGTCGCATGCTTTCAACTGCGCTATTGACGGCAGTAACTAGACGGTTGAATGCAAGATACTGCAGTTGCTTGTAGCTCCGCCAGAACGGGGGAGCTGAGCGGGTGCCAAGTGAAAGTGCCCGCTCAAGAAGCTGCATAAGGTAAGGTAGATATGTACTGAGGTACCTACCTTAGACTACAAATGAGCTCACGTGCATTTGGTTCCATGGAAAAGGCCAGCAAGAAGTGCCGGCACATGTACCTGCCTCGGAGGCACAAGTTGTGCAAAGCCCAACACAAATTTGACATTGCACACTTCAGTATAAGGTAGTAAATAAAGGGCGGAAAATCAAGTAGGGAGGTACTGTAAATAGCTGTCTCATCTCGTTGTACTGGGAGTATCATCCATACATTTCGTTCCCATTATAGCCATAGCATTTTGTTGAAATATCATGAGTAATGCCTAAAAAGAAAACAACCTGCCCGTGGTATATATGTATCATCACATCCAATCATCCATCTATGTGGTAGCAGTAGCAACATAGAATTATTGCGTCGCAGAAGTGGAGAGAGAAAACAAAGCGAGAAGAAAAAAGACATGAGAGGCCGTCGGTGTGCCTCGATTTTTGAACCATACGCCATAAACCCCCAGGTGTTCGCTGTTATGACCTGTATAAAAAAAAAAAAGGAATACATGTGTCGAAAGCAAGAAATGCAATGCAATACAATATAACGGGGATACTTTTGATATGACGACAGTCCTTGGTTGCGTCTTTGTCGGTTGTTTGCAGAGAAGAACCCGAGCCGAGGATGGCGGCCGATCAGAAGAATGGAGGCTTAGATTTCCCTGGTCGGATAAAAAGCCGTCAATTGCGTCAGCGCCAAACGGAAATACCGTAGCCTCGTCTCGCTGTGGTCCCCGGCCCGACAATACCAGGTTGACTCCAGTAGCACAGCCGATGCTTTGCGTCGGATCAAGGGCCGAATGCAATGGACGATGAATGAGGCCCACTTCAAATGCACGAGTGAGCCAGGCAAATCGTTATCGTCGTCGGGAAAACACATGCCGAAAGCTGCCATCGAACCATTTCCAACAATGCAACAAAAGGATTCATCGATAAGCGTTGCCCTGGGTCGAGATGAGTTGTCAAAAGACAAAGAATGTGAACAAGGCATTGATGAGGCGTGATTGGTGAAATGCGATAAGCCAAACATGCCACAGTCGCATAAACCCCCCAATGACATCTTGTAGTGATCCGCGGAGCTGAACAGGCTCTTGCTGTCGAGACAGGCATGATTATCGCTTCTGTTTCTGGTTTTTCTTTTTCCCGTCTGTCATTGCCCTTGGGAGAAGGGAGAGCGTGGCCAACGTGACCGAAAGTGGGAAGAGGTAAGTCCCCTACAGGCCACACTCTTCAAAGTCGCGTATCATGATGGCCATTTGCGCCCGCTTGGCAGCCTCGGCAATGAGTGTGAAGTCTTGGAGAAAGGCGTCGGTTGAAGGACCGTTACCCTGAGCGGGAGCAGGTTGAGGGACCATCTGTACAGAAGGAGACTGCTGAGCCGAGGAGTTGGAACTTGAGCTGGAGGGAGCGTCCATTATGATAGTTGATGATGATGATGATGATGATGATGATGAGATAGTGACGGACAATGTTGGTATAAGCGAGAGAGTTCAGGTGTATGGATAGTATAGTCCAGAGGAGAAGGTCGGGGGAGAAGAATGTGGGAATGGGGTGGAATATGTATCCGTGAGGTTAGGCAGCCAAGAAATAAAGATACAGTAGCACAGTGACAGTTGATAAACTACTGTACCTAATGTATTGGATGTGTGTGCGTACCTAGGATGGATGATGTGGAGGTGGGTGTGCTGTCGGGCCCTGGCCTGGATATATGCTTATGACCGTAATGGTAGGAAGCACAGGTATTGCGTGGGGTAAAATGACGGGATACCACTCTCTTGTTCCCCTTTGGTCTGTTCCCAAGAATACCTCGACTTGTTTCACACGCTTGCTGCCACCTCTTTCTGCAGGGTGACGTTCCGGTAAAGGCTGTAGACTCTGGAAGTTGGCACGAGTGGTGACGTTCTTGACGACTCCGACTCCCAAGCTAAACGTTTGATTTTAGGTGTGGATGGTGTATTAGGCTGATGCCGCAAACAGTTGGGTGTGCTGAAGACCCGCTTGTTAGGAGTTGACCTGCTATTCTGGCTGCGCTATAGAACGATAAAGGGCCGAGTGTCTGGGGACAGGATGCAAATCAAATCAAATCAACTCAACTCGTGAACGGAGACGGAGACGCCGAAGTGTGGAGGAGGCAACGAGAGTTCATAAGAGATCATAGGAGAGAGGGGGGGGCTCAATAATTCACAAGTAGTTAGATATGTATTTATAACAGTGGAAGATGCCGCCCGTAGTCAGATCGATTGAAGCCGAGGAAACCAAGATAGCCCGGCCAGGATAAGGTATCAAATGGATTGGATGGAAACACAGCTTGTGACTGTGACTACCAATTGCTCATTTCATTTACATTTATCCGCAAGTCCCGACCATCTTCATCCACACGGTGGCACTGACAAAAAGCCCCGGTGTTACATGTAGCAGGACTACTGTTCTGTTCCTAGATCCTACGTTAGATAATTGCGCGGCGGGGCAGAAAATGGAACCGAGAGAAAACAAAAAGAAGTCTTCTCTGCATTACCGCAACTCGAACTCGGCCTTATGCGCGGGAGCTAACCAGAGCTAGGAACTGGGGTCTAATGGATATCATGGATATCATGTCCCAGTGGATCTGGAGTGCAAGTGGGAGATGTGAGATCTCAAGACCCAACTTTTTCTTCTTCTTTTTCTTCTTCACTTCCTCTTGGTCGATTTTCTTTGTCGTTAGAGCATTATAGTCTTTGTTGGCTCAGCGAGTGGAAACTAGTGACCGTGAAAAAGACCGAGAGAAACTCATAAACTAATGCGAACAACAACAAGACGCTACTGTAGTAGCATCATGACACCGCATGAGATTGGATTGAATTGAGCCCTACGTGCATTACTGTCGCCGCACTGCGGGCATCCTGCTCCGCTTAGACACTCACCGCTCGTCTCATCTAATCAGTTGCTTGCCTCTCTAGGCTCTCTCCTCGTCTTTTTAGCCGTGATGCGTTGAAACCTCCTCGGCTCGGCATCTGTTTTACATATTATTCGTACAAGCGCCCACCAATCATTGGACCCTGGAACACAGATGGCGTGGGGTGTGTCTTATATCCCCCAATCCCCAATCTCTGAAAATCGAGACAATATTGGCTGGCTTAACACCAGGCTCTTTACAGCTTCTCCAGTGATAAGCAGGATCGTCAGGAATAAGAGGTCATGCATCATGTTATGAAAAGAGTATTCCATAGTACTGTACGGATACGATACCCCCAATATTCTCATTCAGGGAGTCCTGGTACTTACTTTTGTAAAGTATTGATCTGCAGTGTTACCTCATTCTGCCTGGATACAGTACTTCATGCAGGTTATTTATACTCAGGGCAGTCAGGAACAAATAAGGTGATTCTGTTTCTTTTTGATACAACAAGGAATCATCTCACAACATCCAGCCGGCCCGTTCAGCCTATCTGCAATTATCTGCCCAACACCAAAACAGCTTGAGAATAATTACTCACAATTGAGTCTCTCATGACCCTACTCTTTAGCGAGCCTCAGTCCGAGATAAGGGTCCGTGTCAGAACCACTACAGTCTAGCTCAAGCCCGGGTTCTTTCGGAATTGGGTTTTCAGTTGGTGCGCTTGGCTCTTTGAGTGGAGATCCCGAACTTTCCCCTATTGTGTAGTTGGAACCAGAGAAATCACGACAACGACAGGGACGCTGGAGAATCTGCCCACTATGAACCAATTCTCCATTTTGCGCGGCTCTGTCGGACATCATTCGCCGATGCTACCGCTTCGTCTGCCCTGCCTCGGGCCTCTGATCCGTCAGGTCTGGCCTGCGATCATAAAACGTTAGGCCAGAATTCAACGTTAGTGTCGAGGTGGATATCTCAAACCCTTGATACATACGGAGTAGAACCGCTCTTGCGGAGCCAGTATTGAACCGTAGTTGACCACCTAACTAGGTACTACGACTACCTCAAGAGGTGCAGTGTCCGAAGCGCTTCTACAAGCCGCCTCA